TAATTTCTATGATAAATATCAACATTTAGGTAACCCAAAAATATTTAAAAATTGTTTTATGTATGCTAATCAACAAATGCCAAAAGAAATTGATAATGTACCCTGTTTACAATTGAAATTTTGGCCAAAGGATATTCAACCATTTCTTAAGCGTTTCGAAGTTAATCGACCACAATTATATGAAAAAATAATTCGAAATTCATCGATTCATGTGATACCAAAATGGTCAACAAAAACACCCAAAATTGACCAAGATGTTGAATTTCGCTATTCATTTTCAGCTATTGAACGTTTATTGGCCGAACATCGAAATAAAAATGAACAGATATTAAATGGTATAGCACGTTCGATTTATTTTAGGTGAGTCCTTTTCGATTTAAATTTATATAGATGATCTTGGCTCCAAATCTTAGCAGCTTAATTTCTATCTAGATTCACTTATTACCATGGTCTAGCTTCTAAATCGTACTACTTCATAGATTAAAACAAGTATAATCTAACAGTGTGTTTTAAGAGACAACCCCACTTGATTAAATGAAAGATAAAGTTCAAAAAACTCTTTTCGCAAGTCTGTGAACTTTTACTATCATTGAAACTAGTTTGGCAGAGAAATCGAAACTTTAAAACGTTGTTTAGTCACAGAAGTTTAGGTTCCAAAAGTAATTCATATTATCCGAACCGATAAGTACAATATACGGAAGACGGAAAAAACTATAATGAACACTGACGTGTTATATACAAGGGGGGAGAAAGCGGACCCCTAGGCTCCTGGAGTCCAAGGAGTCCACAGGAGTCCAAGTTCTTAGAAGACTGTTGTCTAATATTCAAGTAGGAAAAAGTGGCTTTTAACCAACTAATTGATTTTTCATTATTCATATTTAAGATTTATTTACTCTTAGTGGAATATTGTAATTGAACTCTGATATTTCTATCTTTTTTTATTGCTTTTATACTTGAAATCTTTTATATATATTTATTTATTATTCAAGATCACAAGTAATGTAAGGTGCTCCAAATTCGAAAGGTAAGCAAAAAAGTAGATTTCCTTCAAACATAATATGGTTGGATAGAGCTCACCCAGTTGATTCCGAATATCGCCTTTTTATCGAGTTTTGATCACGTTTTGGAGGAGAAATCTTCAAAATACCACAAGAGTCGGAAAAAGTGGAAAAGTGAGCGTTATACAGAAAGTTATGATTTGACCGTTTTCCGTTTACTCTAGTTTTTGAAACTATTTTATTCAAGTTCAGCATCAAAAAGTAAGTATATCGATGTAGGTTTGTCACTAGTTCATCGTTCGGATATCTGCGAGCAGGACGGACTAAATTCGCTTTCGGACGTTGTCACACCTCTCAAACCTATGTAGTCTTTTGTTTCAAAAGCTATCCTCAACTATCATACATCATTCGAATCACCATTCGACAGTGAACAAAAGCACATATGGATTTAAGAAACTTTCATTTCCCTGCTGAGAAAAGTCATTATTAGTGTAGCAAAGTAGGAATTATGCCCGTAGTTCTCGATTTTCCCCAACAAAACTCAACTTCTATGTAATAAAAATATTGTATTTGGAATCAGGATCAAAAGATGCATCGATTAGTGTGTATTTTGAAACTTTTAGTTGATTTGGTGAAAATCTCGTGATTTTTCAACGTGAAAATTCAAAAATAATTAAAGTACTCGGATAGGACAGAGATACATATCACTCGATTCATCTTTTGATCCTGATTCCAAATACAATATTTTTATCACAT